CCGGAGCGCGCGGCGGGGAGCGGGGACATGGGGAAGCTGAGGTCGCTGTGGGGAGTCCGCACTGAGCTGGGTGGCGCTGGGGGCTCTGAGTCACCGTGCGCAGATGGGGCCCTTGGGATCTGCGGGGAGCTGTGGGTTGCTGTGAGGAGCAGTGTGACTGTGGGGAGCTGGGCATCTCCTGGGGGGCTGTGGGGCGCCCTGAGGAAGCTGTGGGGAACTGCATGTTTGGGGAGGCGAGAAGCTTGTGTGGGGTCGCGAGTGTCTGAGGGAGCTGTGTGGGGAGCTGGCAGGGCTTGTAGTGGCCGTGCCACCTGCCCCACGAGGGACATCTTCAGTGGGGCGGCTGGCGAGAAACTTGGTGGTACCAAGACTGCTCATGGAGCACAGGGAAGCGGCAGGAAAGTGGCTTTGCTGTGGAGGGGCTTGTGGCCTGGTTATGCAGCCCCTGTATAGCCGTGAGCGCTGCCTGGTCGTGCAGAGCACGAGGAGGCAGCAGGAAGCATCCAGCTCCTGCGTCCAGCAGCAGGGTAAACTCGAGCATCGCAAGCTCTTCAGGGATGCCTGGTAATAGCGGGTTACATAAGGACGTGCAAAAAGGCATGTGGAAACAGAGTAAGCCTGAGCACGACAGTCATCGTGTTGTTTATAAAACACTCTTTTGTGGTCATGTTTTTTATATAGGTGCAGGCACGCATGCACACACACATACACACACTATGCATCCTTGTGTCACTGCTAAGCCCCAACAGCACAGAGGAAGGGAGTGATGCCTGTGAAATATGTGTCCATCAGTGTCACCTCTCAGAAGGATTGAACCTAAAATAGAGCTGGGCTCATGGGGACCAGCAGGCACAATCTGTCCTGTACGTGTGCACTGCGCTGCACGTCTGACGGTCTCGTATCTGCCGTGCCAGTGTAACTGTACTGACTGCAGTGCTGGTTTTGATGGAATGAGTTATCTTGGTGTCAGTCTGGCTGCTTTTCTGATAGTGCCGCTTGGACATGTAAACAGTAAAAAATGAAGATGTCAGGACCAGCAGGCCAGAAATGTGACCTACTGAATATTTTGGCAGTAGGCATGCATAAACATGTAGCTCAGTGCTTGCTGCTTTGTGTGCCTGTCTCACCTGGACAGGCTTGGAGGACAGTAATAGTTAACAGAGAAAGATGAGAGCAAGTTTGTGCTGTTTTTCTTTTTTTTTCTTTTTTTTTCCCTGCATGAATCAGTTGCCAAATATTGTTGAGAGTTACTAGAAACTGCAAAGAAATGAAAGAAAAGGTTAGGACTCGAATCTCCTTTGGTCAAAAGAATTTTGTCCGTGGCTGTGGTGGGCACAAACTCTGCGTGTTTGTGGACTGAAGTTTTTGTGTGAGTTATTGTAAACTCGTTAGAAACAAATGCAAGGACATGGAAGTGGTGGGAGGAGATGTATTTTGTGCTCTCCCTGTGCTGGGATGTGGGAGATGCCTTGAGTTGTGCCCCTGCCTCTGCCTGTTGTCTGCTGGATGACCTTGCACAAGTTACTTGGGCTTCCCCTGCTCCAGGATGCAGCCGCTGGAGGTAGCCTCCATTAGAGGAGAGATGGGGCCTCCGGCATCCAGAGATGAAATGGACTTCATAAGAGCTGTATGCTAATGACATTAATATTAAACACTGACAAAAAGGGTAACTTAATAGCAACATGTGCTACCAGTGACCCATAATTTTGTAGTTGCTGGTTGCTGTACTTGTATGCGTGTTTGTGACTCACCGCGGCCTTTTCCACTAAGCGCTCAATGCAGGGAAGAGATTTTTGGGGGGAAACAGTGGGGGGGGTGAAGGGAAGGAAATAAATAACTTTTAGGGTGGAAAGCAGGTCACAGGATAGCTGTCCCTCTCTCAGGATGAAGATAATGTATTTGATTTGTGAGCCCTAAGCTCTGGGGCAGTTTTCGGTAGGCATGTATGCTCCTACCCCTAACAGGCCATTGCGCATTATTGTATTTAAACAATAATACTGACCATACGCAGTCAGTCTGGGTATCTTGGGCAGTCTGTCGCCAGAATCACTGTTCAAATGTCCTGTGCAAAGCCTTGGAGTTTTCAGTTGAAATCTCTTCCAGCTCAAAACTTTCTTATAAATATCTACAGAAGAATAGAGCATGTAGCAGAAATGAATGACCGTAAATGTATTTTTCTAAATTGTATCCCTTTTTATTATTGGAATCTTTGCACCTTGTCGCACCAGCTTTGACCATTGCTGTTTGCTTACTCCACTGAAGTTTGGTCTTTCAGCCCGTGAAATTTGCTCTAAAGGCTACGTTTGACTGAAAGCTCTGTTGGCTTTTTGCCTCTCTACTTCTCGTTTTCCCCCGTTAATGAAAAATACGTAGCTGAGAAAGATGCTTTTAAAATGAATGGTAATGACTTGAGGGGAATTAATAATGAAATAAAAAAATTAAGAGTTATGGAGTATTTGGGTTGCAGGAGACTGCTTAGCGTTCTGGTTTTCAGATAGCATTGATATAAAACACCACTGAAATTTGTCTTTTGGTACATTTTATAGCAGAGGCTATAAAAAGACTTTTATGCAAAATACATAAACCAAGTAGGATATATAAACAGAAATACTTTTTTACATTTCCTAGAAGGGAAGTAGTGCTGCTTTGTACTTTCTTGAGGTTATGCCACAGAGCAGTTACGTAGAGAAGAACAGATCCCAGGCTTAGTGAGTTTCTGATTTTAATTCAACACTCTGCTTTCCTTAGATGTGGAATTTACATTCAACTTTCTTCAGATTCCCCTCAGTACTTTAGCTAATCGTCCTACATGGAAAAAGATATGCAGTAAGCCTGATAGCCTGGTGGGTTAAAAGCAGCTTTGATTTTCAGGATTTTGAGAAGCAAAGATTTGACTTTATTACCAAACCGTGCGCAGCCACACCGAGCAGTGGGTGTGAGATCATCTCTGGCTCTCTTTTTTGGATTTGTTACAAAGAACATGGTCGTGGAGAGCCCTGCTGCACGTTAATAATGTAGTAACCCGTGCACTCCTGTTGGTTTTGCCGTGGCCAGAACCCCGTCACGGGGCTGCTGTCGGCCAGCACGCACCACAAGGATGCCTGGGTGCGGGACAACATCTACAGCATCCTGGCCGTGTGGGGCCTGGGCATGGCCTATCGGAAGAACGCGGACCGCGACGAGGACAAGGCCAAAGCCTATGAACTCGAGCAGGTACGGCAAAATTCTGCATAAACCTCTTCCTCTTTTATTTCCTCCCGTGAAGTAGTAGCTTTGCAGGGTGCGCTTGCGTTGCCGTCGTGCTCGGGAGGTGACGGGGCTTTCCATACGCGTGTCCCAGGGTGGAAAGCATCTGCTTCGTTCCTTGGAGGCTGGTGTCTGTGCGCAGTGTGGCGTCCAGTGCTCCCAGCAACTTTCCAAGAAGCGAGTAAGATTCTGATTTTAGGGCTCGAGAACTGAGTGACGGGGAAGCCAGCAACTGAATTAAAATAGGCAAATCCCCAAAACAACTTGAAGGAGTCAAAATTTCATTGAGTGTTTGCATGATTAGTGGAAATTGGTCTTCCAAGATATTTTGTGCTTGGATTTACAAGCTTTTGATTAAATCTTGGGATCTCACTTGAGGTATCTTCTGGAAGAGAAAATCAGGTTTAGGTTGTTTGAATACTGAGCTAGCAGTTTATCTGCTGAGCCGTTCTTCCCTGTAAAAAGAAAGATAAAGTAGGAGTCTTTGGAACATGAGCCTGAGTAGCCCCTTGAAAGTCATACGTGGTTACAGCAGCGTGTGTTTGATCATACCCAGAGAAGACAAAACCTCCACACTGTTGTTAAACTCAAGTGGTAGAGAGTGGGAGGGGAGGTGCCAGACACAGATATGTATTAAATTCTGTGGACCCTGGTGATATCTTTATACAGTCAGGAAAGCGGGTATTGGAAGTCTAAGTGCGGGGGAAGAAGGGGAGGTGAATTAAATGGAGAGTGAGAGAACCCGTTTCCACCCTGCCAAAGGCTTCCTGCCTCACCTGCATGGAAGGGCTGGTGTTAGGTGGGCAAGTTTGCTGAAAACTTAGGCAGTTTTTGGCACAACTCTGAAGTGTTTTTGCTTTGGCTTTGAATGCACTGGGTAAGTCTAAGGCGGATGTGTATTCCTCAAACCACTGAAATTTGTGGCGGCAGAAGAACCCTGACGTGGTTTACGTGATCACGTTCTGAAGCCATAATAGTTTTTGGATAAAGAGATGGGTTTAATTTCTTAGCTTAAGACAAAAACCTATGCTTCTCTTTTCAGTGGTGGCCACTGCGCTTGGATGCCACCCTGTGCCACGTGCTCTAGGTGACCCTGCGTGTGCAGGGGGGTTGGACTGGATGACCTCTAGAGGTCCCTTCCAACCCTAAGCATTCTATGATTCTATGATATATGGTAAAGGTCCTTTACAGATGCCCTCTCCTTGCTGTTGTACTTTACAAAGAGGTGAAAAATTTCCACAGGTTCCCTAGGTCTGTTTCTAAAAAATCATTGGTATTAATGTTACTTCCTTAGCCAGATAAAAAGAGGGCTGTTCAGCTGTTTATAGATGGCCCTTGTCCTGCTTGACATGGGTGTGGGAATAAAAATCCCCCAGTATATTGTAATCCCATAGAAAATCAAAGAATTAGATCAAGATCTTGAATTCTTTCGGACTGTTAATTAATTCTGAGAGGTAAGAAGTACTGCATTTTTAAAGCAGCTGCACACTCCTCTCCATCCCCCACAAAAACACGACACGTCTCCAGGAAAAAATGTGTTTGTAAAGTTGGGGTTAGGGAGAAAAAAATCATTTTGGACAAGTATGCATTTATACCTTTGCAGGACATTAATGTGGGGGGAGAGGGGGTTAAATTTGCTGTTCTCAGTTGTCTGGAATAGTTGATATGGGGATGTGGGAATGTCACTCATCTGTATTGTTCCTGCAGAACGTGGTGAAGCTGATGCGGGGACTCCTACAGTGCATGATGAGACAGGTAATGACAGAAACCAGTAGCATTTATTGCTTTTAGCACAAGGTTAGATCCAGTTCTGTAGCTGCAATTGGTACATCAAGGGAGAGAATGAGAGTTTTCTGCAAAACATGTCGAATATGTCCAATATGTGTTGTGTTTACAGAGTGTTTCTTCTGAAGCAGATGTTTTTTTTGGAAGGTGGGAGGGAGAATTTATACAGTGACTTTTTGGCACCCCAAAAAGGGGAATATACAAAGTGATGTAGGGATTCTGTAAAAATTCTGTAGCTTCCTTCAGCAAAGCTGTGATCTCAGCTGTGCCTTTTAAAGATCATGCTTGGAGCAAATTACATTTTTTGCCTTTGAGAATTGATTTTCACCAAGATGCACAGCTAATCTTAGTTAAAGCTCATTCTTTCTTCATAAAATGTGCGTTTAGTCTAAGTCAGAGAAGTCAAGATTTGTTTCTTCTTTAGTTCGGTCAGTCAAATCATACTGATGTGATGTAAGAAAAATTAGAACCTCAAGTTTCTTCTCTCCTAAGAGAAAAATCTCTGTTCTGAAATTGTTCGTGACTGAAGAGTTTCTTCCTAAGATTTTTCAGATTTAGAATCTGTGCTGTTTTTTAGGTAGATAAGGTAGAGAAGTTCAAACACACGCAGAGTACCAAGGACTGCCTGCACGCCAAGTATAACTCTGCTACCTGCGCCACAGTGGTCGGGGATGACCAGTGGGGGCATCTACAAGTAGATGCAACATCCCTTTACCTGCTCTTCTTGGCACAGATGACTGCATCGGGTAAGCAGAAGATATTTTGGCCTTGACTGCTCTTGCACTCTTCTTTCATTTAGAAAGGGGGGGAAAAAAAAGTTTTAACTAGCCTCAAAGATTTTTGGCATAGCTATTACTATAGAAGGAAATAGTATTTATGTAGGAAAGAAATGTGGCTTAGTTAGGATTTCAAGTTTATAGTAATTACTCTGGCAGTGCTTATTCCCATAATGTTTGTTGGCATACGAATACTTGGGGTATTCAGAGCGGTGTCAGAGAAGAGCTTTGTGTTTGAAGACTGTGCGGGCTGTGCTGATGTCCTGTCCTCTTTAGAGAGTGACTGCATCAAGTCAGGTGTTCTCCTCCTGTTTGTATCCTTTCTTTTTCCCTAGCAATGTTTTATTTTGATGCTCTTCACAACTGTGCGCTTCCTGTGAGGATGTGGCTCTGCTTTTGTTCCCTGCTTGCTTTTCTGTCCTTGGAGCCCCTCGTGTTTGAGTGCATGGGTGGCAGAGTGCATGTCCGACTTCTTACTGCTCACATCTTAACTTCTGTGTACCCCCTGTGCCTGAATGTCACCCTCACAGGGTTGTTTTTTGAGGGGAGGGTTGGTCTTTGAAAAAACAACAACAACAGCAAAGAATGGGTGAACTGTTGATGCTTTCTGCCTCTTCTTTTGAAATCAATTTTTCCATTGTCCATTCAGTGGACAGTAATTGACAGCAAGTAAGCTAAAAGCTTGAAACTTGCCAAGAAGTAAATATTTCAGTTTTAGCATGGTTTAATTAATTTCTTTCCTGCTTTCAATCAGGGTTGCGTATCATCTTCACCCTTGATGAAGTTACCTTCATACAGAATCTTGTATTTTACATAGAAGCTGCCTACAAAGTTGCTGTAAGTAATTATTTATATGCAAATGGTCTGAATACCCATTTGATGTGGGCCAAGAATAATTTATTAGTGGAGAAGAAACACATGGATGACCTCTATGATGAGAGATTGTCAGAATCTCTTGGTGCATTATACTGTGGGTAGCGTCTTTGGAAACGGTGGGAGGGCTATGGAGGGGCTTTCTGCTACATGAATGGAGGTATGTTCATTCTATCATACTAGTAGTGTGCAGCCCAGGTCTGAACTTTACTTTTCATTGTTCTTATGTGTCACTAAAATTTCAAGCACTTTTCAAAAAAAAAAAAAAAAAA